TCACCTTTCACTAGATCTGTGCATAAGTAGAGTAACTTAGTATGTATTATGTATTAAGAAGAAAAAAAAATGAAAGGGGAGGTCAGATGATGAAAAGGGAGGGTGTCAGCGTACTCTGACCCACCTCGGCGAAATCGTTTGGGCGCCCCTGCACCTCCTCCAGGGTGCTAGGACAGTCTGCCGCCGACAGGACGTTCTTCAGTTCGATGCGGAGCTCGCGCAGGTATTCGATGTGCTTCTCCCAGGTCGAGCCGTCGCGGTTCTCCGTCCGCTCGTCGTGGTCGGCGTGCAGCGGCATCACTATCCTGGTGGTATGTGTGGGAAAATGAGGAGCCCCAAACCTACAATGGCGATGTTCCTCGTGCGCCTCGAGCTGCTTCTTCACGAACCGGTGGCGGATAAATTTGTTCTTAAAGCACGTCGCCGTGTGGTTGTGCTTGTTCCTCGACGCCAACGGGTGGTCGCTGTCGCACGACAGCAGCTCGTCAATAAAGGCCACTGTCTTAGCCACGTCGTCCAAAGGCTGGTCCGGACCGTCGTTAAGCCACAGCAGACAGTGGGCGTGTGGGCTCCCGCGCTGCTGGAACTCGATCCTGATGAACCAGTCCCTGGCGAAGTACCGCCCCATGGGCCCCTTCACCCGGGCGCGAAGGTACTTCTTCAGTTGTAGCACGATCTCCCTGAAGTACGTCGCGCACACCACGGGGTCCGCCCTAATCAGGCGCAGCTTCTCCTCCGGCGGCACGCAGTCGTCACCGTTGTCGTCGGCTTGCTGGAGCACGGTGGTGATGGCGTCCATGGCCTCCTCCCCGACGCGACTGGCCGGGTCGGTCGGGGCGGGCTCGGACTGCGTGACGCCGGCGTTGAAGCGGTCCATCTCGGCGTGCTCCCGGTGCAGTCGCCGCAGCACGCTGATCAGGGTGGGGCTGTGGTACTCGGCGGAGGACAACGTGAGGAACAGGTGCGGGCGGCCGAGCTGGCGCACGCTGGCGAACAAGTCGTGCGCGCGGCCCCTCCAGTACTCGGCAGAGTTAGGCAGCAGGCACGGCATAGCGATGCCCTTCTTCTGGGAGGACGACACGAACTCCTTGTCCAGCAGCTGCTCCCTCGTGATGTTCCTGCCGAGCACGTCTTTGGCGCCGCGCTTGAACTTGTGGCGTATGCGGCCCGACGCCTGGTCCCTGACGTGCACGTTGTACTTGTAGAGCACGCACTGAGGGGCCGCGCCGCGCCGGTCCGTCCGCCGCACCTCGCTGCGCATGGCCTGGTAGCGAGTGACGGGCCGGGTGAAGGTGCGCGGCTGCCCCAGGTACACGCCGGGGAAGGACAGCTCCTCGGCCTTGCGGTCCCACACCACGCTGACGGGGGTGCTGTTCTCGCCGGGCGCCACGTCGACCTCGTCCGTCTCCGGGTCGGCTCTGCAGGGCACGGCTGGGGGCGGCGGGGGCGGGCACGCGCGGTCCTCCGTGAGCAGGGTGTGCTGGATGGTGCCGAGGCGCTCGAACATCTCCTCGCGGTCCGCGGGCTCGTCGGGCTGCCCGTAGAACACGCCCCCCTCCTCGGTGAACTGCGGCTCCGCGGTGCTCCCCTCCGGCTCCGCAGCCTCCAGCCTGGACTCGTCAAACACGACGCCGTGCTCGCGGTACAGCGGGCTGCTCTGCAGGTAGCGCCCCCACTCCAGCACCTTCGTCCTGTCCACGAAGCTGCGCGCGTAGGCCCGCTTGTGCATCAGCTTCCTCTTGATGTTGACGACGCACAGCTGGTCCTCCTCGGGCAGCAGAGGGATGACGGTGCGCACGGTCTGGTCCGGCTCGGTGGGGACATTGATGACAGAGCCGCGCACGCCGTACTGGCCGCGCCGCCCCATGGTGCCCAGGTGCACGATCTGCTGGAAGGGCAGGCGGAGGGCCAGGACGTGCTCCTCCACCTCGGTTAGCGGCCGCAGCCCGGGCGGCATGGGCGGATAGCGGAAGCCGTTCACCACGGCCGTCGGCGGCACCTGCCTCTTCACGATGTAACCGTGACAGGTGGCGCACAGGTCCTGACGGCCGGGCTCCGTCACCAGGCTCTCGAGGTGCTCGCTGACCGCCGGGCCGTCCTCGCCGAGGCGCTCCACGTTGACGCGGCGCACAGCCCGCTCGTTGAGCAGTCGGTCGCACACGTAGCACTGCGCCGCGCACACGCCGGCCAGGGTGCGGGTCACGCTCGCGCACACCGCCGCCACCACGGCGGGGTCGTTGGGGCGCGGGCAGATCTGGGGCACAGCAGCGCCGTCATCCGAGTCAGAATCATCCACGAGAGAATCAATGTCCGGCTCGCTCTCCGAATCACACACCTGGCCTGCGCGCAAAAGAAAACAGCAGTTGGTATCCTGGTCCTAAAAAGCCACGACAATGAAGCAGCCATGCAAATTAGGACAGTAAACTTACGATCGTTCCAAACCGAGAACACATTTCGAGTAGAGCAATCTAAGCCAACTCCGTTGCTTTCTGGTGTGTTTGAAACTGTAAAAATATGCGTCGTAACAGTCAATAAATCATGGGAAAAATTGCAATGTTAAAATTTGTTGTTTTTAGACGACCAAGTACTCACGATCCTCTGTTGGGCTGCCAGAGTTCTGCTGTCTCTGCCTTTTTAGCAGATGATACGTAGTAATCAGCAGCTTGTACTCAAGTAAAGTGCAAAAGTCCGTTTGTTAGTTGAAGCGTTAAGTTGTCAGTTGTCAGCGTCAAAAGCAGAAACGCCGTAGCGCTGCCAGCCGAACGCCGTAGCGCTGGCAGCCGAACGTGGAGCGGTCCAGCCAGCAGCCAGCCTAAAGTTTTGGGGCAGT